GACATCTTCCTTATTTAATAAATCGATTGAAGTAACAAAATAGTTTATGATTATCTACCTTATCATGATGCGTCAGCGCTTCCATAAAAATCCAAATTCTATTCAAAAGTGATAGTTTTTTTAACATTACTTTACTATTAATATTAATCGTTCATATTCTTAAAATTTTCATGCCCCTCGGCCTTATGCATTTTAAAAAATCAAGTATTTTGTCTAAATATCTGAAAATATTTACTTAATTAAATTTTCATAAATTTTTTGTATTTTTAATTTTTGCATATTATATAATAAATAAATATATTCAATTTCTTCATTATTTTATGTGTGTGTGTCAAAATATATATAAGTAAATTGTATACTCATGCATACTTATTATAAATAAAAAAATAACCTTGAATCATAAAATTTTTTAAATTTTGTTAAATAATGAAGGTGACATCTTTTTTTTTTTGATCTGAAATCAATTTAAAAAATAAATAATTTTAATTTTAATTAAAAATGAAAATATTAAAATTATTCTATAATTAAATTGCACGTGTAAATTAAATAAGTTTTATAGAACAAAGAAAACACGGAAATATTTTTAAAATTTTTAAAACAAATTTTTTTAATTTGAAGGAAGAGAAAAAACGAAAACAATTTCAAATATCCTTCTTGTATAATTTTTAATCTAGAAGAATAGAAAGAACATAATATCAGTTTGGTTTCCTAAGGTTTACAACTTTGATTTAAATTTTTGATATTTAGTAAAAAAAATTCAATTTGCATTTAGGGTTTTGGTATCACTAGCATCTCTTTTATCGTGTCATGTAGTTTAAAATTACCGAGCATAAGATTTTATTGATCGACTCGACCGGACACTACTTTCAAATGAATTTCGAAACAAATTTTACGTGGAAATATCGTAAATTGTACAAATAACATTTGATGCGAAAAATATACACTAAATACTCGTAAAATAACTTTCACCATCTGGTCAAAGAAGTGGCTTTATTAATTGATTTCTACTATTCGGGTTAGACAATCACTGTTCTTATTTCGAAAATATTTGAATCAAAGTTCAGTATAATATTCGAAATCATTAAGTTACAAGTTAAATTTACATTGAACTAAGCTGCATCAGGAAAACCTCATAATTTTATTTTGGAAAAATATTGTAGTGTAACTTCAAAAAAATTTACCTATTTTTTAAGACGAATTTTTGTTCTCGAATTTAAATTGAATTCTTCAAGGTTGTAATTGTGATAAAAATTCTGGTGTTAAATATTTCACGAAAGTGGGACATAAAATGACTATAAACGGAAAATAACTATATGCGTTCATAACAGGTTATGGTTTTTTCAGATAATTCAAAATAACTACTTAATGAATTGTAAGAGTTCTTTACCAGTTACTGTTAACAGAGTAATTTCATAGAGCAATTTGCTATAGAAAAGCTTCTCTGGCGGCAATTAATTGATTATTTAAATACAGAGACTATTTAAATACTCGAACCTGTGATATACCGAAAAATTCTTTATTATTTTTTTTTATTTATTTTTGTTCGGAGAATTTCGTTTAGTAATTTTAATTCACGATTCGTATCATTCTCTCTTTTCGATATTCATAGATATTTAACATTTTACTTTCATTTTCCGTTCTTTGGCGCGCTCCTATAAGGATACAAAAAATATTTTTTTTCTCTTTTTAAATATTTTTCAAATCTAAGTTTTAATAAAGTTTTTACTTATCTTTATTTTTTTGGACTTTTTATTTTTTTTTTCAACTTGTTTAACTTTAAGGAAAACTACTAGAGTGTATAAAGCGAAAAAGAATAATGCCCTGCCGCCATATTTTTTACGACACAACACGAAAAAGTCAGTCGTCAGTCAAGAAAGTAAGAAAACCAAAAAAAAAAGGCAATTTTATTATCTCAATATAAACCATTACAATTTGTCTCACACACATTCACACACAATATTCACAAACACACATTTTTTAAGTTTCTCTTTTATGTAATAATTTTTTGTTTTTGTTATTTTATTCAAGTTCTTATTTAACATAGCCCCTTTTCATTTTCCCTTCGTTCATTTAATAACTTTTTTTTTATATATTTTTGTAATTTCTTATATTTTATATCAGGTTTAGTTTGTTTTTATATTTTTCCGTCTACTCTACTGTATTATTTTGTATTGTTTATTAAGGAACCTCTTAATCCTGTCTATTTTCATTTTATTGCACATACTGATACACATATACATATCGCATAATATGTCGTATAAGGATAATAAAGGAAAAAGAAAAAAAAACATTATAAAAGTCTTTCTTTTGCACAAAACACAAATAATAATGATGATAAGAAAATGTAAGAGGAAAAAGAAATGAGTAAAAATTTTGAGTAGAAATAATGATCCGTAAATAGTTAATTGTATAGTTGAAGACAAAGTACATATGTATTATAAAAGAATGGCTTTAAATTCATCTTTTCTTTAAAAACAACACATTTCCTTTTAAATACCATATTATATAAGGATAAACATCTAAAATAATAAAACATAATATTAATTATTGAAATGATTATTATCATATCACAAATTTGCATAAATTTAGGAGGAACTAAGATTTAAATTTGGTTGCTAACTATAAGGTTGAATTCGCGTTTGCAGTTCAGACAGCGCGAGAACAGATAAAACTGCAGCGCAATAGAACTACTAAAGTAGTGTTGCCAACAAAAATCCTGGTCTCAAAAAATTTTATTTATATTCTTTACTATTTCAGTTTTCTCGATTAGTAAAGAATATAATAGTTCTAGTCTACTAAAGGAGGTTATGAATATAAAAATCAGATAAAAATTTTTTTACTGTTGTTATGATAGAAACGATCTTTTGCAGTCCTATCAATAAAAACGATATTCTTTTTGCAGCAAACTACAAAAAAAAGTGCTGCCATTGCAGATCTTTGTTGAAAATTCGAACCCGAATCCATCCTAAATTAATTAAAATATGACGATATATTTTTAGATATAGATTGACGATTTTACAGACGATTTTGTATAATGTCAAAATTTAGGAGTATTAATTCGGCAAGAAAATTAAAATTTACTGAAACAAAATTAATTACTAAATTTAGGAATAATCAAAGTTGCCGTGTATAAATTATGTTTGCATGAAAAAAATAAATTACGTATATGTATGTATTTAAAAAATTAACAAGAAACCAGTTTGACAAAAGCGTTAATTTAATGCGTCAATGCCTACATGACAGTACATTTATTGTAATGGCAATACGGTAACTTTTTAAAAATTTGTTTTTTCATAACTTTGAAGCCAAATTACTTGAAATGGAGAAGAGTTTCGTTTTCTAATTATAGAGAAATAATCACGAATATTTTGTTTAAAAAAAAAAAATTTACAGAAATTATGAGTAGAAAAAATAATTAAAAATTTTTATGTCCTTTTTAATAATATATTTAAACTTAAAAACCTATCGAACCCAAGTATTGAGGGAATAAAAAATGACTATCAAATTGTTTTAAAAGTTTTGCAGTAGGAGCACACGCGACAATTTTGACATCCCCACTTCAAAATTGGTACTAATTATGACACCTACGATTACTAGGATAATACATAGACGACCAGAATATTGGTGAACGTATTCAAGACGATTTCTGTTTTGAATGGTTTGTAGAACCTTTTTTTTTTGAATTTGGTGAACGTATTCAAGAACCTTTTGAATGGTTTGTAAAACGGACCGACGAAACAAAACAAATGGGGCAATTTTTTTTGTTTAAAAAATTTTTGAAAATATTCCAAAGGAATCATAATTTTAACAAAAAGAGAAGGAAAAATAAATATTAAAGAAAAATTTTCATCTTTGTTATGTACATAAAAAGGAGGAAAAGAAAAAGTCAAAGTAAAAGTAAATTTTAATAAATTTGTCTTCATATTTTCATTTTCTTCTTGTTTTTAATAAATTTTGTTATGTGACTCTGCACGCAAAAATTCAATATTACACAACCTATTATACTTATATTTAATGGAATAAGATTTGATATACTAAAATTCTGAAATTTTCTCTATAAACAATCGTACAATGCCTGCTTTTATGGATTCCTGTATGAGTGTATGTATGTATGTATGTATGTATATATATAATGTGTATTTTGTTAATGTATTATTATTTTCCGGCAAAAGAAATTTTTCATGGTCGGAAATTTTTCCTTTTCGCTTTTCTTAACAATTCATTAAGAATGAGCAAAAAAGGAAAAGGTTTTGAAAAAAAAAACTTATGATTCTGGAATTGCTTTTGGTATTTAATTTTTTTTTTTTTTTTTAATAATTAAAAGAGTGAAAATTTTGATTTGAGATTTATATTTGCAATCAATTTTAATAAATAGAAATTGTCGTTCATTATTGAGATTTCATAAAATTGAAATTTTGACAAAATTTTATAATAAATATTTTTTTTAAGAATTTGATATTAATTTATTACATACTTAATTTGTACCGTTAGTGAATGAAAATGAGAAAATATTAAGCTAATGATTTCCGAAGTTCTCCTCATTTTAACACAAGTAATTTATAATACGCCATTAATTTTCGAATTTTTGGGATTGTAGTTTAAAAGGGAAGCAGAAGTACGACGAAAACTTTGCTCTCGATAAACTTTCCTTTATGAAATTTCTTAATAAAAATTATTTTTATCATCAAAACTTCGGTCTTCTACCTTACAGTTGTAAGAGTATGGACGGATAGAAACTAAAATTTTCAAATAGAGTTTCGGAGAGCTATGGGCGTTTCATGTTTCATAAATTTATTCTTTAGTACTTATTAGATTTTGGTAATTTCCGTAAATGAGCAGCAAAATTTTATTACACCCACTTATTCCTGAAATGGTTTTTTAATAAATAGCACTAATTTTTTATAATTTTGTTAAATTTCAATTTTATATAAAAATTTTTTTGAAACTTAATTGAAAATTTCAATTTCATTAATTTTTTTTTTTTTGCCTTTTTTTTTCAGAATCAGGATAAATGGAAATATAATCCAATGGTAAATGCAGCACCCGGTGGTGCTGTCGGTCCAATCGGTATGGGTAGCGGTGGTATGGGTGGTATTGGCGGTTGTGTTGGTAATGGTGCTAATGGTATGCCACCAATGGGTAATGGTGGTATGGCTGCAGCATTAGGTATGTCAGCTGCAATACATCAACATCAACAAAATCAGCAAATGCAACAACAACAACAGCAACAACAACATTCTGGTTTATCAAAACATCCCCAAATGTTAAGTGCTCATTTACAACAGCAACAACAACAACAGCAGCAACAGCCACCACATCCATCACATCAACAGATGGCAAATCATTTAGGTCCCGGTAATCATTTAAGTTCAAATCATTTGGGTTTAAGTAATCCAAGTCATGCTGGTTTACAAATACCAATGCCAACAATACAAGGTAGTATTTATGATCATGTACATCCATCAATAAATATGAATGGTATGCCGAAACCAAATGATCAACAACAGCAATTACAACAACAACAGCAGCAGCAGCAACAACAACAGCAACAACAGCAGCAACAACAACAACCACTTGTTTATTTAGGTGGGCAACCGCATTTAGGTATGCTTGCACCACAAAATCAATATATGAATGCTGCTAGCCGTAATGCCGCTGCGGTAAGTCAATTTTTTTTTTTATATTAAACTATTTCTGATTTATTAGGTATGTTTTAAATCATAAGGATTTTGAATAAAATTTTAATTATGACTAGACCTAATAGGATGATTGGGAAAATTAATTATATGAAAATTTAATTCTCAAATCGATTTGGCTTTTTCGTTCCATTTTGAAAATTGAAAATTATAGTTTATTTAAGAATATTATACAATTTCAATTCTAATTATCACTATAATACATAAAAAATTAACTTGTCATTTTGTTAAAATTCAAAATTTATTAGACTGCGGAATTTTGTACGAAATCTTTTTGTTTATACATATTTACCGTTATTTTTTTCATTGAAATATGCAATCACACAAATTGAATTTTTTGATATGAAATTTTGCCAACTAAATATTTTTTCTGATTTTTGAAAAAGATTTGACCTTTGTTGGCAAAGATTTTCAAAAATATGGGGTCAAAATTTTATGTTTGCTATTTAATTTATTTTTCTTTTCTTCTTACATAAATTTATAATTATAAAAAAATGGTTCTCATTTTTAAAATGTATACAGTGTGTAAAATATTAATTATATTTGTGAATACTAAACTAGAAACTAAATTATTTTGACAGAATACTTGGAGTTCATTTTCAGTTTGGTAAAATCTCTATTATTATTTTGATTTAGTTTTCTCTGAGGTGTTCTATTCTAGTAATTTCTTCTGATTTTGTAACCTTAAGAGTTCGAGAGCTTGAGCTTTTAATCGAATAAATTTTTTAAAACAAAAGAACACTAATTATCAAATTCTAAAATTCTTGCTAAATATTTGATTTCCAAATTCCAAACAAAATAGGTTAATTGCAATTCTATTTGAAAATAAGTCGAAGTTAAAGCTGTAGCGCATTTGTACTCACTCAAAATTTTTAATTGATTCTAGACATATTTTGATAAAAAGTAGTAAACCTTTGTAATATTTTAAATACTATGACAATTCTAAACGAATTCTTGTTTTCAATTTAATATTCATGTCTTAAAAACTCAATTGCAATTTTAATTTTCGACGATATTTTCGAAAATTCACTACACAATTTATTTAAAAATAAAAATTAGAGCTATACTTAATAAACATTTGGACTATATAGCTTTACAAAATATGTAAAAATAATTGAAACTTCAATTGTGAAAATATAAAAGAATTGTAATGTTTTTTAATTTTTCGCTGGTGCTTCATGCCTTCAATTGACATTCAATCGTTGAATTGTCATTCAAGCGCAGTTGTTGCTCAAACTCAGTTGTATTTCGATCTCCTGTTTTTCGAATATTCCCAAATTTTTGTATCTCACATGTATGTACATAAGTTTTATATCGTAAAATTGTTATTTTCCAATTTACTACTAAATGAAAGAGAGATCGTAATGCGGAATCTCTCAAACCGATTTTATTGCCCATTCAATGTTTATTTGAAAACAAATAGTTAACGCGCATTTCACACAATTTGTCATTTGTGATTCTTATAAAACTTTATTTTATTAATTGAAAATTAAAAGTTTTAAATTAATTTTTACATATTTAATTAATTACCTAATATTAAATATTGTTTAGAGTTTCTATTCCGATGAAAAAGCACATTTTAATTTTTAATAAATACAAAAACTATATTCATCTACCAACTAGAATGCTATAAATTTAATGATATTGAAACGTCAATAATTTGATCGCTTAGGATAGTTGAGATGCAATTTTTAAAATGCAAACTTCAACAACACAATAAAATTTTAAGTAGCCTGGTCATAAATTTTAACAATATAAAATTTTTAAAGAAAAAAAAAAACATTAAGGCGGGGGCTTCTTCATATACTTTTGAAAGCAAAAATATAGTTAAAAATTTTCTCAATAATTTTTTTTTATATGTAAGTATGTATAATAAAATATGACAAGAGTTTTAAAAAGCTAAGGTAGGGAAATATTAAGAGAAATTGACTGAGATGTCAATATGGTAGTTGAAACACTTATAAAATATATAAAACATATATAAAAATTTTAAGTACCAATACCTAGTATAGAATTAAAAATTATGAAAGAAGAAGTTCTTTTCATTGAATTCCTTGACCTAAATATATGGTGTTTACCATGCCGCCACAAAATAACTACAAACAACAAAAAAAAATTGACAAAAAAACAGAAAAAAAACGCCAGTGCATATCGTCGTGTCTTTTATTCTAGCAAAAATGAAAAGAAAAAATTTTTCATTTTTCATTTATTTATTTCTTTTTTATATCCTTTTATATCCTTTAATATTTTATAAGAAACAGAAAAAAAAGCAAAAAATAATGGAAAATGAAAATATAACTGCCATATCATTAAGGATACTACTATGGTATCTCAATCTGAGAGACTGAGAGACTCTAGAAAAGAAAGTAGAAAAAACATTTTTTTTTTTTTTAAATTTTCCTTTTTCTGTTTTCTTCTCGAATATTTTTACGGTAAGTAATACACGAATAACGGATTTTTGTATTAAGTATAATGATCGCAATGTGAGAGAGAGAGAGAGAACGGGTGCGAGATGTGGTGATGGCTAACAAAGAAGAAAAGCAGCTTTATTTTTCTTTTGTATTTTTTTATTTTTCTTTCTCTCTTGATTTTCAATGAACTGCAAATGATTGCAATATTCACTTTTTTTTTGTTCTTTATTTCATTTGCTCTTGATTTCAATAAAAATCTAATGCAATTTTTATTTTGTTCTTCAAAAAAAAAAACGAGAACGAACAGAAGAACAAAACGACAAAAATAAAATTACCCGTAAGAAGTTGGTAAAATTTTCTTTTAAAAGAATGAAAAGAAAAAAAATTTTTTTTTCAAAGTGATGATTTTTGATGTTGAAGAGAATAATCTCCTTTCCTTTCCTCTCTTCTCTCTCTCAACAACATAACATAAGCTTCATTTATCACTTCACCCACCGCCACCATTTTTCTATTTCATTCATTTCGTTCTCATATCTCTTTTCACTTTCCTCTCCTTGAACTACTATTATAATACTTTTCAATTTCTATTGTACTGAATATAAATGATTTATGAGAAAGCGGTAAATTCAGGATAAAATAAAATTTTATTATAATTGCTTTACGGAAAAAAAAATTAAATATTTTTCTTATGTCATTCTTGTGAATTTTCGGAAGCCCAATTATGTTTGTTTAAGGGGGAAAAAAAAATATATTTAAAAATTTCATTTACTTATTACTCAGAATTGCTGCCAAGAATTTCTTTTGGTTCTTATATAACAATAAGAATATAGTTGTATAGATGTATATATATGAGCTTTAGAAGCAAGAGAAACTATTCATAAATTTTAAAATCGAATAATTTTTAATACTAGAACTTTTTAACAATAATGCAATCAAATTGAAGTACATTGAGATTTTAAAGAAAATTAAAAGAAGTAAAAAATATTTTTATTTTCAATTTTCATTTTTAATTTTTTATTTTGAAGAGCTTTCAAAGAAGTTTTTTAAATAAGCAAGATTGAAAAAGGATTTTCAACATTTGCTTTTTATTTGTTTTTGTTCTTTATACTTAAATTTATTTTTACTGTGTTTTTATTGGATATTTTTATCAGACCCTTACTCTCGAATCACCTATAATAAATTTAAACAGACTCTATTTGAGTCGAACTTATCTTTATTTATTTAATAATGTTCTCAAATATTTAATTGTTTTTCTTTTATTTGAAATTTCACAAAAATTTCAAATTTAGTTCAGCTTTGTGTTCAAACTTTTTCTAATAAAACCAACCATTGTGTAAGTTTTAAATTATAGTAATTCGTACGCATGCTGCGTTTTCAGAAGAACCCTACTCTTTCCTGTTTTTGTTATCATTCTAGAATAATATCATTTTATCGAATAATAAAACCGTTTAAAAAATTGATCTCTCTATATAGGTAACATATTATCCAGAATTTTATTTTCAAATGAAATTTTATCTGGAATATGTTTTGCATTTGTCCCTGAAACAATATTCTTAAAATAAAGGAATATCTTTATATATAAGAGTATCTTTTAAACGGAAAGAAAATATAATAATAAAAAAAAAAAGGAAATTTCAATTGAAATCTCAGACAGATCCTTGAATTTTAAATACATTCAGTATGCTTATATTTATTCTTTTAATAGGAATTTATTTATTTTTTCTTTATACACAAAATTAATATCCGCTCAACTCAAACTTATATTTAATGGTAATTGTAAAGAATTAAATTGATATTATCAAAAAAAATCAGGATTCTCAGAAGAAAGAATTACAGAGAACAGTTGGGAATATTTTGTGTTAAATGAATATTTTGTTCCTGTTTTATTTAAAAAAAAAAAATTTTTTAAATTTGGTTTAAATTACTATTAAACTGAAGCGAATTGGACAACAATATCATATTATTTCAAACTTATTCTTATATTTAATTTCGTAAATTTCTAATTTAAGTACTTAATTTAAAATAATTTCAAATTTTTATGGGGTTTCATGCTCCCTTAAAATTTTCAATATTTATAAAATGCATTCATAATTATACCCGTACGAACGTATTACCAAATTTTCACAAATGATTTATAATAGTAAATGCCGAACCCTCTATTTAAATTGGATGTAATCGCGGCAGTAATTCGGGGGGCTGCCTTACAATTTCAAAAGTTATTTGGCTATATTTCAGAAATTACTGGCGGTATAATATCGAAATTTAGTAGAAGCAAATTTTGGAGCATTATTGAAGCTATCACGTGTGATAAAAAATTCTTGAAATTTGTTGACTCCTTGTGGATGCTGCTATACAACTTCGAAACTCATTTTCTCGTATATTGTAAAAACTATTGAAATTTAAGGCCTGAAATTTTAAATAAACGAATATGAACATATTTGAGGTGGCATGAGTTTATAGGGTAACTATCGAGATTCATACGGTTATCACAAATTTAATTTTTATATTAATTATATTAAAAATATAATTTTACAATTAAAGAAATTTTAAATT